TCTTAAGGCTTCACATAAAGCCACAAGCCCTTAATCACAATGATTCTGACTTAGTTCAATTAAAACAGAAGTTCAACTTCAACAAACTAGGGTCCGCAAACCCCAAACATCAGTTCTGGATGAACAGTAAGCTACTGTTCCTCGCAAACCCAGAATATCCGGATATTACTCGGGGACATATCCGGATATCAATATCCGGATATCCGGATATGCATATCCGGATACCCATATTCGGATATCAAAGGATCCCATATCCGGATACCATATCCGGATATCAAAGGATCCCATATCCGGATACCATATCCGAATATCAATATCCGGATATTTCGGGACAAAATGCAGTTTCTGCATTTCGCGAAGATATCCATCCAAGGTTCTATTTTTAACACTTCAAAACGTCAAAGCATGCATTTCTTACTCTGTTTTAAGTTCACACACCAGTTGGTTACTTGTTTAACTCATTAAACATGTCAAGGCATCTCTTTTAACCCATTAAACTCAAGAACAAGGGTGGTAACACTTACCCAAGCTTAAAACTCACCAAGAAAGGCTCATGGACCTCACCAAACTACTCTTCCAGTTCTGACTTGGTTCAAACACGAAAAAGACACTTCAAGATGGTTCTTTCCCCACAAAGCTCACTACTTGAGCTCACAATGGCAAGAGCAAAGCTCTCACCACCTTAACTCAAGAGGACAACACTCAAAGCCACCAAACAGAGGACATTACTCAGCCAAAGAGCAATCCCCGCTCTCCCAAGACACACCCTCACAAGGCTCAAGTGTTTAGGATGAAGAATCCACCAAGAAAATGGTCTCTTGCTTGAGTTTTGGTCAAGAACAAGGGAAGGGTGGCAATGGAACAGTGTATCAGCCTCCTATTCACGTAGTAACAGAAAGGATGCCTAGGGTTTTGGGCCAAAAGAGCTTATTTATAGTGGTTTAAGTATTAAACACACAGTATTAGCACTAATAGCTACGCTTAGCATTTTAATCCCAAACTTTGGAATCTGATCCTACTCATTTTTATAAGATTTAACATATTTTTATTTTATTTTTCGGAGCACCTTTCCGGTACGCTCTTTTCATAGCCAGTATCAGTTTCTGGCACCGGTTCTCATTATATTAACTTGAAACTCGTTTTACAAGTCCTATATAATATTCTATGAATTATCATGCACTTATTATAATTTTCCGGGATACTTTTTTGGTATGCATTTATAGGGACTAGCAGAACTGGTATCTGCACTTTTCGTCAGAAAAACGACTTTCAGCATTACCAAGCAGTTCCTATATTTATTTAAGCCTCATAATAATTATTAGGGTCAATTATGGAATTATTTCCTAATTCTCATATATACTTAATTAATTTCCTTAATTAACGGTGCGGGTTCTTATAAGAATCATACATTTTCAAGTTATATGCTAATTCAACATTGAGTAATGTTTAACATACATTTTTTTCCCTCTTAAACTCTGTTTTAGATTATTAATTTCTCCTTCAAATCTGTATAAAATCACTAACATTTTTTCTGTACGTAAGAATCTTTCACCATAAAACTAAACAAGTCGTTAATCCGAATAAGGTCCAAGAGCTATATTATCACCCGTATCAAAGTTTTTTTCTTTCCTTCAGCACCTGTATAAGGCTTTTCCATCAAATACCTTTGGCATAGATGGTAAAGAGTCTGGTCTCGAGTTCAAGTTCTGGGAATGAAAAAAGGGATTTGGGAGAGCTACCCCTTTAATAGGGTTCGACAAATGTTCAAACAAGATGTAGTCCAAAGGATGAACCGATTAAAAAAAAAGGCTTTTCCCTGGATAGCGAGTGATATCATCATTAGTTGACCCAAGCCCAAGAAGAATCATAGTTCGGTTCGCCTATTGATAGGGCTATTTGGGTAAGCAAAGTTCCTCAACTTTGTTACGTATAGCTCGATTGAGGCCCAGTGGAAATGCAAACTCCCGGTAGAACATAGTGGTACAACTAGCGCCTACTTAAAAACAAAGGAGTAATATATAAAAGGAAACTGTTATTTGCACGTAACATTTACCTCTTATACCTCCTATTTAACTACTCTAACTTAAGTTAATTATTTTCTAACGAAGTTAGTTAACCATTTGTAAAACATATTTAATCAATAAAATATTTATAACCAATGAATCTGTTGTTATATATTTATATTAGTGAATTAAATCAGTTTAACAACCTATTAATCTTAGGTATGAGATGAGTGGAGGTAATGTTACGCGCAAATAATAGCCCATACTGCCACACGACTGCATACTTCTAGATAGGGGTGGCAATACAGGTATTGACCCGCGGGTTGACCCGAGACCCGACCCGCCAAATCACGTGTCGTGTCAACCCGCGGGTCAAGGCGTGTCGTGTCAGGGTTGTGTAAATGTGACCCGCTTTTTTCGTGTCGGGTCACGTGTCAACCCGCGGGTTCGCGTGTCAACCCGCACAGTGTCATTTTTTTATTTTTTTATTAAATATTTTATTATATTATTATTTTTATTCATTTATATATTGATATATATAGTCATTGTTTAGTATAGAAAAGAATAGAAGGAACTAAAAATCTCAAAAAGCAGAAGCTAATCCTTTTTTTATTTTTATTTTTATTGTTTATTGTTTTTAATTTATTTATTTTTCAAAAAATATCACTTTTTTTAAAATTTTAAATTTTGCGGGTCGTGTCGTGTCGACCCGTGACCCGCAACGGGTCGTGTCAGGGTTTGTGTTTTGTGACCCGTTTACAAAACGGGTCGTGTCAGGGTCGTGTCAAATAGTGTACGGGTCGAAAACGTGTCGTGTCGTGTCGTGTCGGGTTGACCCGTATTGCCACCCCTACTTCTAGAGATAGGAGAGCCATTCAGGGAAGACATTTTGCACAAAACTGAATAATTTATATGGGAAAAATGTCTATCATTTAAAAGGATGGTCCTTTTAGATGAATGTTGTGTTTTTTTTAAAATTTTAAATTACAAACTTTTCTCTCCATTCTCTCTCCCCCGTAGTTTATTCCTTTATCTCTCTTAAAAAGATATAAGTGTGTGTCCTTTAAAAGGACACACACTTTTCCCAATTTATATTGTCATTACACATAATTATTATTAATTCAAATTAATAATCATACTTGAACATCAATATCAACTTCATATTTATATAAAACAAATGTCTCGTATATCTTAAGAGGCATTTCATCACTATCATATATTCAAATTTTTATTTCCCTCTTTATCTATTCACCAACGATTCTCCTTGACTTTCTAAAGAATTTTTTGAACAGACCTTCGGTGCAAATATAATTACCAAATTCAATTTGATCAATTTTCATAAGGAAAATAGAAGTATAATGTTGTAGGAAAGTTGTTATGTTATACAGATAGAGATTGTGGGACTCACATTTGTTTTGTTTTTTTGTTTTTTGAAAACAAACGTGGGTCCCACAATCCCTATCTCTACAACATAACCTAACAACTTTCCTACAATATTATTCTTCTTTTTCCCTTTTCATAAACCAATAAGGGAAACTTCCATGTAGGACCCTATACGTATACAATAGATTCATGGGCTTTTGTTCTCTCTCTCACACATATATATAATTTGGTACTCTCATGTTATAGGAGATTAATATATCATTTCATATAGATAAAGCATGTGAGGCCCACTCATTTATTTATTTATTTTAATAATATAGGCCCCACATGCTTTGTGTCTATGACATGAAATTTTACTCTCATACAACATGAGACTAATATTTCCTTATAATTACTTATGTTAATCAAATCTAAGTAATTGTTGGCTTAAACATGTTTTATGTTAAAAGTGTTAGGGAAAACTTCATTTTCACCTATTGTGATTTTGTGATTTATTATTTGACCCCCCGTGGTTTTAAACTTGTCACTTAGACCCATTGTGCTTAAATAATTTATCATTTAACCCCCTGTGATTTCAAATTTTCACTTAGACTCCTTATGGTTAAAAAGATTTTCACTTAGACCCCTTGTTACCAAAATAAAAATTTTAAAAAATAAATATTTAAAATAAATTTTCCCTATTTTTTATTTTATATCCTCACCTAATGCATTTAAGGTTTAAAAAATAAAAATAAATTCTAAAAAAATTCACTTATTTTTATCAAAAAAATAAATTCAAATCAAATATTTTTATTTTATCTATTTTTACCCGTATCATTATAAAATTATTTAAAGAAAGTAAATATCTTATTTTGATAATACATATTTAATTTATTTTAAATAATATTTTTTTAAATTCAAATATACTTTTAAAATAAAAAAATTAAGATAATTTATAAATTAATTTAAAATAAATAACTTAAAATATTTTTCAAACCCTAAATGCATTGCATGAGGATATAAAATAAAAAAGTGAGAAAATTTATTTTAAATATTTTTTTAAAATATTTATTTTTTAAACCACAAAGGGTTTAAGTGAAATTTTTTGTAACCACAAGGGGTCTAAGTGAAAATTTGAAACCATAGGAGATTAAATGATAAATTATTTCAGCATAATGAGTTTAAGTGATAAGTTTAAAACTAGAGTCTATAGACTATAGGAGATCAAATGATATATTACAAAATCACAATAGGTGAAAATGAATTTTTTTCAAAGTTTTAGGGGCAGTTAGGCAGATCCTTTGACACAAGTTCCAAACTTTAAAATTTGAAATCAAATCGTTACCATTGATTTATATTAATCGTTATTATTTATTGCGAATTAAATTTATTAATTAATTATTAATTTGTAATAAATGATAAGACAAAAATCATCGATTAAAATTTTATATCAAATTTCAAAATTTGATACCGATGTCAAATGATCTTATCTTCGAGTATTAAATTATTAATAAAGTCTTTTCAAATTAAGTAAGAAAGCAGTAATTTTCTCCTAAATCTAGTAAATCTCCATTAATCCAATGCATGCGAGACAGAGAATCACTCGCCGTGGAACTGCAGCTATTTTATAACCAATTAATCTTTCTTTATTTGGAGGGAAAAAACAAAAAAAAGGACAGTTCACTGTTTGCAAACCCAGACTTGTAATCACAAAAATGAACACAGTATAAGAGTGAAAATAGATACAGGGAAACCTAAAACTTAACTGTACACAAGAATAAACAGCATCAACTTGAATACAATTCAATAAGTTGTTCAAAGGCACTCTTAACACCAGAAATTTGAAACCCTAAAACAAAAAAACGTAAACAAAGGTTTAACCATGTCGCTTTCCAGACAGGCTGATAGAGCTGACTTTCATAGGAGTTGCCACCACCAACGGAGCTTCTGGGGAGTCACTAACAGCAAACTTGTCATGCATAAATCGTGATTCTACAATTGACTCATCCTTTAATAATATCTTATAACAGTAACAGCTCTTCAGCCCTTGTTGATTCCTGTAACATTCATGAGCACTGTTCTTCACCTGCTGAAAATCCCATATCACACTAAACTTGCCCACAGTTGCAACAAGGTGGCGTTCCTGTTTACCATTCTCAGTGACCTGAAAGACAAAAACATATGAGGGACACTTGCTGCAAGTTGATTGACTCAGTAAACTATAGTATTAATGAGTCTACAGGTAGAATAGGGTTCCACCCGCACACTACAAGCAAGCTATCAATTCACATATGACAACATGTTTCACAGATGTCATCAATTTAAATTAAAGTATCTAGTTCACTTTATATGCAAGTATGCAACATGGAATAAACAAGGAATTCTCTCTTGAGGTGCGCATAGGTGGCCATCCCTATATATATAGTTCCCTACAAATGTTGATCGACCGAAGACTTACAGGATACACAGAAATATTGTTGCTTAAAAAATTACTCAAATCTCTCTCAAAATCATGCAAATTGAATTTCTTTTTCATAATTTCAGCAAATTTACAGAAAACATTGTAAAATAAAAATACCACTTGCTTGCACCACTGGCGTTATTGTTATAGTATCCCTTTTGTCAATTTTTTAAATATCCTCTACTACTAATGCTACCCACCATAATGTTATCCCGCCTATCATCTTTCAATCTGCAACTTGAATTTCTTGCTCCATCAGACCAGTTCCATGATAATTCCAACAATGCTCTAGTATGGATCACATTACCTCCATACTGTTATCGTCTTTAACAAAAGCTGGGTGATTTCACTCCTAGGTCCATAATTAGCATAATAATACTCAAACATTAAGAGCAAATAATAAGGACTTTACCATGATTGTTTCAAAATGGTCATGTTTTCATCAATAACTAAATACAAAGCATACAAATTCATACTTAAAAATAAAGGCGAGTCCTTCAACCCAAAAGCAGGGGCATCAGAACAATGGAAAAAGTCCTTGCTTCAGAGTAGTCATGCCAGCTTAGACAACACACTATGGGGTTAATAGAAAGTATTTCAGTTAGCAAGTTTCCATAGATAATTGATAACTTTATGAGAACCAGTTGATATCACTACATTTCTTTAAAAGTCTCTGAAAGCAAGTTTATTTGTTAAAATTTTCAATCTGGTTTGTTCGTTGGCACTATTCACTCATGTGTAACTTAAACAACGTCAATGAAACCAAAACAACAGGAACAGAAAGCATCTGATGTTTACTAGATTTACCCCATGCTAATCATGAATAACAAATTTGTTTTCGCGTAGCTTATGGTAAATGGTAAGAAAACTACAATACAAGGAGAAATAATTGTCCCATAACAAAAGAAACGGCAAAAAGAAGTTTGCAGTAGTAATGGTAATTTAGTCACAATTTTCAATTTGATGAATAAATTACTAGGTATAAACAAAAAGTAAAAGAAAGAAGCTAGATTCACAATAATCTATCAAAGACAATTTAAATGCCCCGTAGTTTAAGATATTGCCAAGACTGACATATATAAGAATACTACACTGATACGTATAAAGATGTTAATGCAAATGCAGGGCAATTTAATTATAATTGCAAAAAATGTTTACCCATGAGAAATGGCCACCATGAAACTTATTGCCAGCGCCAGCTAAATGCGAATCCAGAGGAGTCAGCTTCAAGAGTCTGGGAGCACCAATCCTGTTTCCCATACGACCACTAAACCCAGTCTTGGTTCTCCCATCTTTATCAGTGAACAAGGTACAAATCAGTACCAAATAAGTGTCAGTGGTGCCCAGCACCCACTTGCCATCAAAAGTAACATCAACACTGGTAATTGGCGAACCAAGCCCTGGGAAAGCAGTCTTAGCTTGCCTCATCGAAGTCTTCGAATACAACCTTATCTTCCCATCCAATGACCCCACAACAATGGACCCATCTCCAGTTGTTGCAAAGCACTGAAAGTTAGTCCCTCTCGAGAACTGATGCCCCTGGTTCCAATGCAACACAGGCGAACTAGCCGTGGCAATGTTCTGAACAATCCCTTTCCTATCACGCATGTCCCATTGACATAGCCTATTATCATCCAACCCCAAAAAGGTTGATTCCGAGGGATCCAATTGTGAACCCTTTGTATCATTAGTGATATCCCTCATCGTGATATCAGCACCATCCTTCTCAAACTTCCATTCCGTTACAATCTTCCCCGTCTCAATATCAAGCTGGTGAAGCTTCGAAGCGTTGGGCTTCCCATCTGTTAAGGGACTCATGAGCATCATGTTAGTCTCTGCTCTCATCAACAACGCCTTGTTCGGTGTCTCTTGTCTCGAATTCCCACCGTTAAATTTCACGGCAACGCCCTTGCCGTGAATCCCACGGTTGAAATTCCGGTAAACGTGAACGCCGGTGTCGTTAAGCAAGAAACTGTTGTCGAGAGCGCCCAGCGTTAACGTCTGAACCCCTCCGCCGTTCGCGGCCTCTTCGAACTCTTCAATTAAATCCTCTCTCGGCCGAACCGGAGCCGGTTCGGGACTCTTCCCGAGCCCATCGTCAGCATCCTCCCAGACCGAATCGTCGGCGGCTTCCGGTTTAACCCACCCGATAAACTCCTTCCCGTAAACCTTCACCTTGTTCTCTTCGGTGGATTCAAGCCCGTACACGTTCTCGAACATGCAATTCTGGAATTCGGTAACGAATTTCCGGTAGGATTCGTCGGTGGGGAATTTCAAGGCCCAGACGCCGTTGGAGACGAAATCCACACGGCGTTGATCGCCGAACATTTTCAATTGCATTTCGGAGGAAACCCTAGCGCGAACCTTGGAACCGACTTTGAGAACCCACTCACCACCCTCGTCTTCATCGTTTTCATCTTCGTCTTCGTTGGATTTGACGAAGGCGTAGGAAGTACGCTTGTCGGAGAGGATCCACTTGGCATTGGGAGTGTTGCCGCCGATGTGAAGGTAAAGCTTGACGGCGTTTTTGGGAAGAGGGGTTTGTGAAGAAGGTGATTGGTATTTGAGTTTCAAAGCTTTGAGCCTTGCGTCTACTTCATCGAGCTGGGTAGATTGGGATACAGAGGAAGCTTGAGAGTCTTTGTATTGCTCATGATCTTCGTCTTCTTCTTCTTTTTCTTTATCTTCTTCGTGTTCGTAATCATCAGAGTCAGAGTCAGTGACTTCGAGACCCTCGCGGCTCTGAGAGGTACCCATTTGAACTCTGAATTTGATTTTGATTTTCGAAATGAATGAATGCTATGGGATTCGGTTACGTTTACGGTTTTATAGCATTACTATCGCGGTTAGTGTGAGAGGCACGCGGCTAAACTTGCTTCTTCCAGGCGTGGATTTAACGCACTTTTTTTTTTTTTTTTTAATTTAATCATTAATTACATAACTTTATGGCTAAGCTAAGGGAAATTAATTCCTTCGGCCGCTTCTCACTCCTCTTCCTTTCTCTTCTTTCTTCACTCTCCTCTCTCCTCCCCTCTCACATGCGTTGCATTGGTCCGGGTGCCTCTAAGCTAAGATGTTTCAGTGTTGGGCTCGTGTTTGGATCCGTGTTCGTAGTGTGAAGCGCGGCTAAACCCAGCCCCATACTTAGTGCTTGGTGGTCAATACTAAAGATGATTGAATATTTTGTTTTTTTTTCCCTTGTATTTAACAAGGGTGTGTATGAATTTTTTTTTTTGGGTACGCTGGAATCAAAAAACCAGCAGGAAGCTACAAAATAGTCACAGTACAGACTCTACAAACAGATGCTAAATCAGCAATAAAAACAGATTGAATCTGAGAAGGAGGATAACAAAAGATAGACATATCTGGAGCACTAAGATTATCCAGAGCATAGTTTGCCAGCCAATCAGCACAGAAGTTGCCTTCTCTGTATGTGTGGACTAAATGAACCCGCCAGTATTTTTGTAACCAAGCTCGTATTCGAACCACCCGATGAGATTCACAGGCTGCAACACCATTTTGAGAAATAATGGTGAGTGCAGATGCTGAATCAGATTCAACAATAAGATTTTTCCAGCCTTCTTCCTAAGGCATCTCTAACCCTTTGAGTATACCCCACAATTCAACATTAAGAGAATTACAAAAGCCCACTTTGTACGAGAAACCTTTGAGCCAATGCCCCATATGGTTCCTAGCAATACCACCACAAGCAGCCAAACCAAGAGAGCTTCGACAAGCACCATCAGTATTCAATTTAATCCAACTCTCATCAGGAGGCTTCCAGCAGATAGGGATATCTGCTGTAATCTTTATTGAATTATGTCTGTTAGCAAACTGAAAAGCAAGATGGACTTCCTTGGCTTTAAAAATAATCAGGTTTTCTTTATAATGGTTAGGATGAGCAGAATTATTGCCAAAGATAACATCATTCCTCCATTTCCAAGCCCACCAGCAAGCGATTCCAAAGATAATACACCATGGTATATCCTCTTTAGACCTTTCCCTACAAGCCAGATTTCTATCCATCCAAACATGTAAATCATCCGTGAAAAAAGAATGACCAAGGCTGTTAGGAATAAGGTTTAACCAAAGGGTCCTCATATCCCTACAATCTCTTAATAAATGTAAAGAAACTTCAGCACCTTCCATACATATGGGGCAATCAGGTTGACCAATATCAAAAGAACTCAATCTATTTTTTGTTGGCAATCTATCATGAATATCTTTCCATAAAAACAATCTAACCACTTGAGGTCTTTCCCACTTCCAAACTTTTTTCCAAATAGAGGAGTTATAGACAGTATCAGAATTAGTACCTGCTAGAGTATGATAAATGCTCTTAACTGAAACATGATCTGAATCCTTCAACTTCCAACGCACATAGTCAGCACCATCCTGCTCATTTGGAGGCAGCATGCTTTTAATCACTGAAATAATATCTAATGGAAGCCAACTAGATAAGAGCTGGACATCCCAATTTCCTTGCCCATTAACATAATCAGCCACCTTTTTATTAATCTCCTCCCAAGGAAGTGGACCTGAAGCCATATCCAGAAGCCTTCCACCATTTTGAATCCATTTATCTTTCCAAAAAGAAATATCCGATCCATTGCCAATCTCCCAACTGAGGTGACCCTCTAAATTCTTCCAAGTTGAACAAATATACTTCCACAACCTTGAATCACCATTTTTACTATGAAAAATATCATTTCCTCCTTGCTACCCACTATACTTAGCCCTGATGAATTGAACCCAGAATTTATCAGGTTGTGAAAAAATATCCCAAACAAGCTTCCCTACAAAAGCATCATTCATGAGAGTTAACTTTTTTATCCCCAAACCTCCCTCATCCTTCGATTTTGTAATTGTTTCCCAGCCCACAAGATGCATCTTTTTTTTCTCCTCTGTGTCACCCCAAATAAATCTTCTTTGCAATTTTTCAATTTCATAGCAGATGGCCTTTGAGATTTTATCACATTGCATCTGAAAGAAAGGAATAATGGATAGAACATATTGAGACAGAGTAATCCTTCTCGCTTGTGATAGGATTTTTGCTTGCCAACCATTAAGCTTATTTTGAATTTTTTCTATAATGTTAGCATATGCTTCTCTAGAAGCTCTTCCATGCTTCATCCACACCCCCAAATGTCTTCCTACATTACGCATCCTCTTAAAACCACATAATCCTGTAATCTCATCCGCTACACTAGCAGGAGTATTCTTCGAGAAAAAATACTAGTCTTCTGTTGGTTCACTCTTTGACCCGAAATATCTCCAAAAAGCTGCATGCATTTTAGGATAGTTTGGATTTGAGCTGTATTAGCTTCAGCAAAAAGCATTAGATCATCAGCAAACATCAGATGGGATATAGCAGGCCTTTCTTTACTAGCCCGGATTGGCTTTCAAAGATTTCCCTGGACTGCAGTATTGATAATATGGCTGAGCTTCTCCATTGCCATAATAAACAAATAAGGAGAAAGAGGATCCCCTGACAGACTCCTCTAGAAGGGTGTGCATGATTCTATTAAAACTGACAGAAACACGGAGAATAACATTTCATTAGTGACATTCTAGTAATTATAATCAAACAAATTTATTTTCTTCTTTTTCCTACAAAACAGCTTATATAAGTTGTTATATAAAATAGTTTTAAAAATAAAAACACATTCAAACACACCCCTCCTCTTTACAAGGACGATGAAAAGTTAAAGGCTGTGAGTGGGATGAAAGATGCAAGATATATTCCTAAAATAAGATATGTTCTTCATGACATTTAACAGGAAGAAAAGGAGCAAGCCTTGCTATACCACTATGAACGTCTTGCAATTTCCTATGGTCTTATTTGTACTCCACTAAAAATTTAAATATTATTATTTAAATAAGAAATTATGAAAATGTGATATTTTGAAACTAATTTATGAATCTATTGCAACCATTCGGCCCCAGAATAAGCCTGACTGGTCGTGCCCAAATAAACTAAGTACGAGATGAGATAAAAATTAATTACGATTCCACAATATTGAGTAAAACTTTCCAAAAATATAATTAGAGAAACAAATAAACTGAGTACGAGATGAGATAATAATAACTGAATGTATATGACATTAAGACAAATCTTGAGGCATGCATGAAACTTATTACTTTTGTTACAATAATGCCAAATTATGAATGAGGGAGACAAAGTATGTTGAAGCATGAAAGTGGAGTATTTGCTCCCAAAAATAAAAAATGTTATTAGCATATAAATTTCGTATAATGAATTTGGATATCTATAGTGATGATTGAGTTTATAGGCAAAAAAATTTAAATACTATTATTTAAATTTTTAATTATGAAAATGTAACATTTTGGAACCAATTTATGAAATTTTAAATTTTTTGCCCGAAAAAGATACCACCAACATTTGGGATGGCAAAATTTAAAAATTGGCAAGAACAAAATTACTTAATATAAGAATACCACTCTTTACAAGGATGATGAAAAGTTAAAGGCTTTAAGTGGGATGAAAGATGCAATATATGTTCTTCATGACATTGATTAGGAAAGAAAGGAGCAAGTCTTGCTCTACCATAGTAAACATCTAGCAATTGCCTATGGTCTTATTATTACTCCACCAAAAATTTAAACATTATTATTTAAATAAGAAATTATGAAAACGTAGTATTTTGAAATCAATTTACGAATCTATAGTAACTATCGCCCAGAATAGGCAGGATCGGTCGTGCCCAAATATACTAAGTACGAGATGAGATAAAAATTAATTAGTATTGAGCAATATTGAGTAAAACTTTACAAAATTATAATTAGATAAACAAATAAACTAAGTACGATATGAGATAATAATAAAAGAATGTATATGACATTAAGACAAATCTCGAGGCATGCATGAAAACTTATTACTTTTGTTACAATAATGCCTAATTATAGATCAGGGAGACCAAGTATATAGAAGCATGAAAGTGGAGAGTGTTTGCAACCTAAAAATAAATAATTATTGTTAGTATATAAGTTTCATATAATGGATTGGGATATTTATAGTGATGATTGAGTTTATAGGCAAAAAAATTTAAATATTATTATTTAAATAAGAAATTATGAAAATGTTACAATTTGGAACCACTTTGCGAAATTTTAAATCTTTTTCCCCAAAAAGACACCACCAACATTTGGGATGGGAAAATTTAAAAATTGGCAAGAACAAAATTATTAAGTATAAGAATCCTACTCTTTACAAGGATGATGAAAAGTTAAAGGCTTTGAGTGGGATGAAAGATGCAGGATATGTTCTTGACACAAGATATGTTCTTCATGGCATTGATCAGGAAGCAAAGGAGCAAGCCTTGCTCTACCATGGTGAACATCTAGCAATTGCCTACAGACTTATTAGTACTCCACCGAAAATTTAAATATCATTATTTAAATAAGAAATTACGAAAATATAGCATTTTAAAACCAATTTATGAATCTATAGCTACCATTTGCGCCCAAAATAGGCGTGACAGGTCGCGCCCGAATAAACTAAGTACGAGATGAGATAAAAATTAATTACCATTGAACAATATTGAGTAAAACTTTTGAAAAATATAATTAGGGAAAGAAATAGACTGAGTATAAGATGAGATAATACTAACAGAATGTATATGACATTAAGACAAATATCGAGGCACACATGAAAACTTATTACTCTTGTTACAATAATGCCCAATTATGGATGAGGGAGACAGAGTATGTTGAAGCATGAAAGTAGAGTGTTTGCTCCTTAAAAATAAAAAAATGTGGTTTGTATGTAAGTTTTATGGATTTTGATATCTACAGTGATTATTGAGTTTATAGGCAAAAAAATAAATTTAAATATTATTATTTAAATAAGAAATTACGAAATAACACTTTAGAACTAATTTATGAATTTTTAATTTTTTTTGCCCCAAAAAGACACCACCAACATTTGGGATGAGAAAATTTAAAAATTAGCAAGAACATAATTATTGAATATAAGAATCCTTCTCTTTACAAGGATGATTAAAAGTTAAAGGCTATGAGCGGGATGAAAGATGCAAGATATATTCTTAAAAAAGATATGTTCTTCATGACATTTAACATGAAGCAAAGGAGCAAGCCTTGCTATACCACTGTGAACGTCTTACAATTTCCTATGGTCTTATTTGTACTCCACCAAAAATTTAAATTTATAATTTAAATAAGAAATTATGAAAACGTAACATTTTGAAACCAATTTACAAATCTATAGCAACCATTCGCGCCCAAAATGTGCGGGACAAGTCACGCCCAAATAAACTAAGTTTGAGATGAGATAAAAATTAATCATGATTGGACAATATTGAGTAAAACTTTTCAAAAATATAATTAGAGAAAGAAATAAACTGTGTACGAGATGAGATAATAATAACAAAATGTATATGACATTAAGACAAATCTCCAGGCACGCATGAAAACTTATTACTTTTGTTACAATAATACCCAAATTATAGATGAGGGAGACCGAGTATGTGGAAGCATGAAAGTGGTGAATGTTTGCACCCTAAAAATAAAAAATTGTTGTAAGTATATAAGTTTCATATAATGGATTTGGATATCTATAGTGATGATTCAGTTTATAGGCAAAAAAATTTAAATATTATTATTTAAATAAGAAATTATGAAAATGTTACAATTTGGAACTATTTACGAAATTTTAATTTTTTTGCCCAAAATAGACAACACCAACATTTGGGATGGGAAAATTTAAAATTGACAAGAACATAATTATTGAATATAAGAATCCAACTCTTTACAAGGATGATGAAAAGTTAAAGGATTTGAGTGGGATTAAAGATACACGATACATTCCTGTTACAAGATATGTTCTTCATGACATTGATTAGGAAGCAAAGGAGCAAGCCTTGCTCTACCACAATGAACATCTAGCAATTGCCTACGTCTTATTAGTACTCCACCAAAAATTTAAATACTATTATTTAAATAAGAAATTATGAAAACGTAGTATTTAAGAACCAATTTACAAATCTATAACAACCATTCGCGCCCCAAAAAAACTAAGTACGAGATGAGATAATAATAAAAGAATTAGTACTCCAACAAAAATTTAAATATTATTATTTAAATAAGAAATTATGAAAACACATCATTTTATAATCAATTTACGAATCTATAACATCCGGCCGCGCCCAAAATAGGCGAGACTGATCGCGCCCAAATAAACTAAGTACGAGATGAGATAAAAATTAATTACGGTTGGACAATATTTAGTAAAACTTTACAAAAATATAATTAGAGAAACAAATAAACTAAGCATGAGATGAGATGAGATAATAATAATAAAATGAAATGACATGACAAATCTCGAGGAACCCATGAATACTTATTACTTTTGTTACAATAATGCCCAATTATGGATGAGGGAGAAAGAATATGTTGAAACATGAAAGTAGAGAGTTTATAGTGTATAAATTTCATATAATGGATTTGGAAATCTATAGTGATGATTGAGTTTATAGGTAATTTTTTTTAAAATATTATGATTTAAATAAGAAATTATGAAAACATAGTATTTTGGAACAATTTATAAAATTTTAATTTTTTTTTTGCCTGAAAAAGACACCACCAATATTTGGGATGATAAAACTTAAACAAGATTATTCAATCTTGAATTTTCATTTTTTGAATAGAAATCCAAGGGAAGCCAAAATGTCAAGGATTCGAGTATTAAACAAGATTCTTCTAAAGCCCTTTTTGTCTACTAAAAAGAAAGAAAGAAAGAAACTATTTGCCGTTTAATACCAAACAATGCCAATGTGGCTTAATAGATTATATATATACAGTGGATGCTGTATATGACCAAGTCAAGCCATGACTATTTCTATCTTTCAGGAGAGCCTTGGACGTGTCAACTCTTCTGAAATCTCGAACGAGGCCATGCCGTACACCACACCACACCACCTTCACTTTCTCTTTCTCTTCCGTTTTCAAAAAAGCTTCCCAAATCGCATGCTTTCAGGTGGGGCAGTCGTGGCTTATGACAATATGAGCCCCTCCGTCTTCCTCCTATGGCTTGTCACAATCCCTGTCCTTGCCCACTCTGGCCTAGCTTCTGATCCTCTAGGTACAAATTTATATTATATAACCCCACATTTAATAATAACGAAATTCATCAAACCAATCTTGTTATGAATTTGCATTCATTTTGTTATTCATAGATTAATGGGTTAATTAAATTTGTATTTTTCTTCTTCTTTATTTTCAATAATGCCTGCATGTAATATTGCATACAATTTAATCTTTTTTCCTAGCATTTGAATTCCACCCACATTTTTGCATGCATGCAGGGTATTTTTTAGATTGCGGGGGCTCCAAAGAGGTAACGGTAGATAGTATCAAATACATTCCTGATGGAAGCTACGTCAAGGTGGGTAACACCACCACTATCAACAAACCAGACTTGCTACCAATACTATCAACATTGCGTTACTTTCCTGATACATCGGCTAGAAAATTTTGCTATTCATTTCCCTCCATCAAAGGTAGCAAATACCTTGTGAAGACTATATACTATTATGGAGGTTTTGATGGAGGGAAGCAGCCTCCTGTGTTTGATCAAATCGTTGAAGGAACCAGATGGAGCATTGTTAACACCACAGAGGACTATGCCAAAGGTTCTAGTTCCTACTATGAGGTTATTGTAGTGTCATCAGGGAAGACATTGAGCGTGTGCTTGGCCAGGAATTCAAACACAGGGAGTTCAAGCCCGTTCATTTCAGCTTTGGAGGTGAAGAGGTTGGATGGTTCTTTGTATAATCCTACTGACTTTACCAAGTATGCACTTGTATCTGTTGCCAGGCATGACTTTGGAGGTGAAGATATCATTAGGTAAGGAAGGGTATGCAAATATATATATTGATGACTTATATTGAATAATGTATATGTTTAGTCAAATGGTAGAAAATGTTGAATTATATAAAGGCATGGTGAGAATTCTGATATCATTAAGATGTTTTTATTTGTGAACCTAGTTTTCCAGATGACAAATTCAACCGGATGTGGCAACCATTTAAGGACCAGAATCCTGTTGTGGAAAGTCATTCAAATGTAACTAGTTCAGACTTCTGGAACCACCCACCAGCTAAAGCATTCAGTTATGGTATTACCACTAGTAGAGGGAAGACACTTGAAATTAAGTGGCCACCTGTATCCCTTCCAAGCACCTACTACTACATTTCCCTATATTTTCAAGACAACAGAAATCCAAGCCCTTACAGCTGGAGAGTCTTTGATGTTTCTATTAATGGCCATACTTTTTACTCCAGCCTTAATGCCACAGCTAAGGGTGTCACAGTTTATGCTGCACAATGGCCACTTTCTGGGCAGAGCAAAATTACCATGACCCCTGCTGGTGGGGCACCTGTTGGACCCGTGATCAATGCTGGGGAAGTTTATCAGATTCTGCCTCTTGGTGGTAGAACTCAGACTAGAGATGGTAACTTATTAATCTCACTATTTTGTAATTTTTTTGACTAAATTACAATCATGAAGTTACTTGTTTGAATCATTTAGTTGTTATGGCTATCCATAGTAATTGCAATTGGACATTTGGCTCAAAGCATTCAGAATCCACCTCTTGATTGGAACGGTGATCCTTGCCTACCTAAAGGGTATTCGTGGACTGGAGTTACATGCTCTAATGATTTTATTGCAAGAGTCACCACTGTGTGAGTTCACCTATTGGCTACAACTCCCATTAAATTCTTAATATACCTCTTGAAGTCTGCTTTATTTGGTTCATCTGATTCATAAGCAAATGAGAGTGGAAGAATGAATCTAGTAACAATTGTCACCTCTAATAAATTCTCTGGTGCCATTCATGTTTAATGGTGGATTCACATATTTTGTTTTTTTTGTATATGTGAAGGAACTTAACAAATGCCGGGCTGGCTGGGACACTTCCTCCAAGTATTAGAAATCTAACCGCACTTGTTCATCTGTATGGAATCTAGCCCTTTGACTTCAATTGTCCTAAGTGATTCCTTTTTTTTTTTAAACCGCTAAATCATGCTATTTTGTGAATATTTGATTACAGTTGGCTTGGGGGAAACAAACTCTCAGGCACCATCCCTGACTTGAGTGAACTGAAGGAGTTACAAACTTTGTAAGTACCCCAAAAGATGCATCATCTCATGTTATTTTTAATTCCTGTAATTTCTTAAATTGTCCACATTAACTTGATCTTTAACTCCTTTTTTCTTCTATCGTTGTTAAATCTAAGGCATTTGGAGAATAACAAGTTTGAAGGATCACTTCCTCCATCAACAGTGGAGCTCCCAAAACTACGTGAAATGTAAGATTTTGACCCTCTCAGGAATAAACTAAACACTGCAATGCTTTACTTCTTCCTTTTTATTAGGCCTTAGTTAACCGGATATATTCCCCACTTGGTTTAGCATATCTCTTCAAATGGTCATGTTACATGCTAATAAATAAAACCCTCATATACTTTACAAACATTTAATCTTTCAACATTCATATATGCATACTAACTTCTGTGTGCTCCGTGACAAATGATGTCTGTGAAATCAGTTATTCCGATTTTCAAAACAAGAGTTTTGAAGTGAGAACAGTTATTTCCAAACACTAAAGCGAAGTGAAACTACAAGTAAGTGCATCACTAGATTCATACCTTTGCTACTTACAAACTCAACACTTAATGAGTTCCTGAAGCTCAAGTTCATATTGCTAACTGATAGTTGTGTGTTTTTGTTGCTAAGGTGGCTCCAGAAATTCATCTCTCAGAATCAGCACAATGCAATCGCAAATCAAGCCGGTTTAGAATTTGACTTGGAAGTCTTCAATAGAATCATAGTGTCTGATAGGACGTGGAGAATTGGCACTGGATATTAATCCCATTATTTCTTGATCACACTGTGCCAGACATCATATTGTAAACCAAAACTATATGTAAGTAAATACATCATAAATCAGTAATGAATACATAAAAATAGATTCTATATATTCATCATAAACCGGGTGAAGCCTCCTAGAGGTTGTTTCTTGTGTTCACCGATATCTTGTTTTTTCCCCTGCCTTTTTGTTTTACCTCAGTGATGAAGCAGCAATCATGAGTCTTTCATTCTAATTAATACAACCAGTGTGAATCTTGCTAATAATAACACCAATTTGATAAATCTATAATAAGTGCGTGTTCTTTCCAAGGTAATGATCAGATTATCTTTCTGCCTTTTTGCTCTTAAGAAGAAAAATTCACGAGGAAGCCTTTAGCAAATTATAGCATTGATTGTAAATAAAGAAACACTTTTCTCACCAAACAATGTGAAGATGTTATTTTAAATTTTAACCTGTTCAAATTTAGAGTACCTCACTAATTTAGTCTTCAAAAATTTAGTGACATCAATTGGTCCGAAAAGATTTTTTTTTGTCATTGAGTGACAATATTGGATCCTAATAAATTGCAACTTATAAAATTTTTGACGTCAAATATTTATTATTTTAGTTTTAAAATCGACGTGATAATATTCTAAAAATATTTCAAGGAACCGAAAGTAGAAGTACTCAAATTCATATTACATCATAAAGTATTCACTCTGACATTGAAAATAGATCATGATATGAGGTTATGCGAAATAATATTAAAAATCAAGGCCATGAAAAACGCGTTGCTATAAAAAATAGGAAAATTGTTAATTTGTATATTAATAATTGAGAACGTTTAGCATGACCACATTAATTCACTGGGGTTAACTTCACTTGTTTAAAAGATTTGAATAAAATATTATATTTCTTAAATATATAAGCTCAAATCTCATCTTTCATCCAAATCTTGCTTAAATCAAAATATTTTATATTTAAAATAACGCAATTTTTAGTTTTGTTTAAAAATATTAAAATAATAAACTATCTCCCGAAATTAATTAAACATAAACATATATTTTATTTACTATCATTTTTCATCTCAAGGTAATAATTGCACTAACTTACATATTGCTCAGACACTCTTTTGCAAACTCCGAAGAACGTGTATTACGTAATAACAAACAAATTCAACCCTTTTTTTTACCGAATTAATGTTTAAAATATAATTTTATCTCCCAATCATATAAAAAAAATGTGTAGGGTTGAGGTGGGTTATATTAAAAGAAGACGAGTGAAAAAAAATATTAAACTCTACATATTTTTATTAGGTATATAAAAAATTAAATTATTTTCTTTATTTAATTCCAACATACCTTTTTTTTTTTTTTTTCGTTCTTCGTTGAGCTATCCTTCAGTATCGTGTTGCTCTTGTTTTTTTGAATTACACAGCTCAACGTTGTATTCAGGTCCTTCCTTTCCATGTTCACGTGTAGTGAACACATCTTCTGCGAATGTTCTCCACTAATGCAAGCTCCCTCTTCTTCCCTTCCGCCTTCCGCTGCCGTGCCTCCGCCGGAGACCTCTCGCCGGGACCCTCCTCCTTCCCTCGCCTCTTCCAGTCCGCTGCTGCCGTCGCCGGAGGCCTGAGGCTCGGCCAGGGCCCCGACGGAGGAGGACCCTCCGTGGAAGGAAGCGGCGCCGCCGCGAGGCGCGCCGGCTGGAACGACGGGATGAGGGTGAAGGCAAAGGAGAAGAAATGGTCTCGGAATAGAGAGAGCTATTTGGATAATGATAGTGAACCTTTACCCCTTCCCATGACGTACCCTGATTCCTCGCCGGTTTCGCCCGAAGAGATTGATAAGCGCCTTCAATGCGATCCCAAATTCGAGGTTTTTGCATAATTATCCTTAAATTTGATTTTTTGGGGTGCTTGCCGAGTGAGTTCAATTTGAGTAATTTACTTAGTTGCAAAAACAAGTTTTTTATATTCCACAAAATTATGGAGATAAATTTGGTTCCTATTTTGACTTGTAGGATTGTAAAGAGGTTGTGTATGAATGGACTGGCAAGTGCCGTAGTTGCCAAGGATCAGGATATGTGAGCAACTATAACAAAAGAGGGAAAGAGATTACCTGCAAATGCATTCCTTGCATGGGAATTGGTAATGCGTTTGTCTTTTCTATACTCCGTTTTGTGACAAGTTATGTTTGGTATTGATTGGGCTAAAACTTGTAAGCAGTATGATTTGTTGTGGAGAGAAGCATAGGTGTTTTGGAGGAAGAGGGATTTGAGAGAGATAGAGTACTTGTGACATTAAGAATCTTCTTTAGATGAACAATATTAAATGTCATGGTCTGATCTTTAAAGGTCATTGCTACATAAACAAGTTTGCTTATGTATGAATTATATTAGACACTAACTTATTTAGAGGATGAGCATTCTCCTGTAGGTTCATATTATCATGACAACAGCTTGTTTAGAGATTTTTCTCTCTATTCTTTTGTTTATTTCTAATATACTGGATATGTCTAGCTCTCTCCACAATCCAAAATGGTGGGAGCCTTGTGCTCTGGGCCAAATTTATAGGGAGTTAACGCTTGGTTGTTGTTGTTGTTGTTGTGCTAACACTTCTCAAGACGAAAAAGAGTGTGTTTGAGTCTTGGGGGAGGGGGAGATGGGGGAGGAATTTTAGCAAAATTTGGCTTTGACTATCACCTCATGCTATTTATCTATTTACGGGCTTCAACTTCCAAAGCCTCGAGTTCTATTTAGGTTCATTTTTTCATGTCGAATGTCTAGGTTTAGGCATATCTAATTCACCCCATTCTACAGTGCTAACTGCTGTTCTTTTACCAAGGCACCAGAGAAAAAAATTAACTACTTCTAAACTATTAAGCATTCTTAATGCCCTTAAAGTTAGGAATTCAGTTTCATGTTGATCAAATTGAAACCCTTTATCTCCTTGGCAATACTCTGCGTCTGCCATGTTTTGATTAGCAGCTTTACTATATTATTGAGTTCTAAATTAGCTCATTTTTGGGCTTCCAAATTTTCTCGACTTGCTGGCTTAGTTCATGAATAATTTTCATTTCTATGCCTCAATTTTGGTTCCTGTAATCACAATTCTTTTCTTCTGTTGTCCAATCTATTGTCTCTTTTTCCCTTTGGCCTTTGTAAAAGATATAAGTACTCATGTACTTGCACTCAGACATTCTTTTAATGTTGAGACTGTCTATGCATTTTTTATGTGTATGATATATATTTAAGGAATGTACAATAATATATTTTCTATTATAATGTATACATCATCTTATTTTAAAGCATATCTGCATATATTTGCTTGTTACCAAAAACTGTCTAGATGCAAGTGATTATATGATGTATGATCATCCTATAAAAGAAAACATGCTAATTATAGCTGCAATCTACTCAGGGATATTTTTTCTTGATTATCATTAAGTCATGACTTGTACTTCAATTTATTTCTATCTGTAAAGGTCTTGTATCTGCATTATTAATTGTTCTATGTGGCATGATTCTTCCTTAAATTTAGTTTTGTACCATCTTAACTGTTTCGGCATAGAAGATGAGTGAGAGCTAAAACTTGACAAGACAAAATGGAAGTATTAAAATTATAAAAAAAGATTATTGACATGATTTATGTTTATTTCTTAGGTATGTATCTGAAAAATATTCCAGTGAACATGCTAAATTACCCCATATAGCATAGAGGGAAAGTATTTTTGTTTCTGAATTTTTTGCATTCAAGGCACCTTCATTTAATCTATTTCATGTCTATAGCCATGCCCTGTCCATGTCATCTGATTTGTGGCTTCGTCAAGCTATTTTTGCATGATATAAATTTAAGACTGTTACACCTCAATATAACAAGTGGCTTTATTTATAATTAACTTACCAGTAAATATTTGTATAAAGGAAGGTTTAAGTGGTTCTCATTTCATATAAAGATGAATTGTGTGACAAAATTGTCCTGCTTCTAACGTGGAATATTTCCACTTAAGTTACATTGAGCTTTTTCTGGACTTCTCTGCAGTGAAAAACTACTGATTGATTGTGAGAATGACATTCCTCTTTTGCATGATTTTGGGGGTTTTATGCAATTCAAATTAATAAGATTCCTGTATTATTATCATATGATTCATGACATCTAATTTTATAGGACACCCAACATAAAAATTTCATGGTTTTTGTTCCCCCCAACCACCACAAAGAAAAAATTCCTGTGATATGTGAAAAGAGCACCCGTTTTTCGTAGTTTTCTTTTGCCTATGTTATTGGTTTGAATCCAAACTAACTTTATCATAAATTGTTTACCTCACTCTTGCATCTTTTGATGCATCTGGAGGATTTGTATATGCCAACTACTCGGGATAGTTACTGAATTATACCAATTAAACACTTCTGTTCAGTCTTTTGCCGTTTAGCAATTGTGGCTTCTTGAATTTTTGCCTAAGGTCAAGTTACTGCTCTTTTACCAAGATGAGTGAGCAAGATGTCATTTGGGATGTACTCTCTTTTGGTTTATACTATGGTGAAACATGTGATGTGAGAATGGTTGATGGTATAGAGTCTTTGTCTAAGATAGGAATTTTATGTGTACATTTTATCAGGAGTTATAGTTCTTGTTCTGATCCTGCCACCCCTTCCCTGTAGGGGGTATACCTTCCATGTCAAGAGGGATTCTGTGGTGCTCTGTGCTATTGAATGTATATCATATCAGCTATAACATTAAACATGGAGTCAAAGTGAAGTTGGTGATGACCCACGTAGTTGACTAGTACATTCAATGGTACAAAGCAAGAGATCGGGTGGCCTAAGAGCTTCTCTCATGTCAATAGATTATTCCTGTTTTAAATGTGTGTGTGTGTGTTTTTTTTTTCTTCACCACCAAGCACGTGGATCAATTGGCATAAGAACTTAACCAGGGGTTTCAAGTTTGAGTCCTCGGTACGTAGTTGTGATAAAAACTTGGTGGGGAGAGCTTTGTTGCTCTTGTGGTCTTGCCCGGCTCTATCACATTAGTTGAGTAATCAATAACCTCGTAGAGAAATCTCAAAAAAAAAAAAAATTTGTTTTTTTCCTTCATATGTAAAGTTTTCAGCTTTTGTGGGTGGACCTTTTCGTAACTTTGACAAGCTGACGCTTACTGGTCATGTATGAAGTTTCAATCAAAAAACTACCTGAGTGGCCTTAATTCTGTGTCAACTTTCTAAAATGCAATTGATTCTTTCGTCTTCACTTTTACTAAATATTGTTTTTAAGATTGTCTTCTTGGAGTAACTTGTGGAGTGTCTGTTTTGCAGGATACGTGCAGAAGATAACAGCTCGCAAGGATATTGATGTGATGGAGGATTTGGATGATAATGGAAAACCACCATGATGATTGCCCCCCCTCCCCTTTTAGTTTTTTATTCCTTTCTCCACCTCGGGAATTTATACTGTATTCATCTTGATGAGATATATTCTTCCATGATTGTTACTCAAACTCATTGGCCTCAACTAGTTTGGGATAAAGGAAGTGATGTTGTTAATTGTTACTCAAAATGTCCATGTAAATCAATATTGTTATGATTAGAGACTGGTAAAGATTATACCCTCCGCCCCAAGAAAGAGACTGGAAAAGAAAATTCCTCATAAAGGAAAGTAGCACACTTGTATCTTTTGGAAAGATTGTATTCTTTTCCACTATATCTTCTCATCTTTTGACTCACTATATTCTTTTTGTGTCCTGCATTTCCTTTTAGCATATTAAGTTTCGTGTCATCCAGAAACTGATGAGGAATTACTTCTAGCCTAAGATTGGCATGATGAGATGTTACGGCTTTTCATTCTATCGTTAATATAAAAGATGGTGTTCTTTTTTCATGTCAAGAGAAAACTGATCAGGCAAGTCCATAGCAATATAAAATGTCAAGGACAAGTTTCCTTGATTTCCAATACAACCTCTCAAAGAGAAATTACCTAAGGAAGCCATCGCGTCTGTTCTCCAGGGACAAACAGAACTCTGGGCTGAAAACTGTTTTCCAGCCTAACGTTGATGAGATGAAGCAGGTTTTTGAAAAATTTGATACCAATAATGATGGGAAAATTTCTCAACAGGAATACAAAGCCGCCTTAAAATCTCTAGGCATGGTGGACTCTGTTCATGAAGTGCCAAATATTTTCCGGGTGGTTGATTTGGATGGAGATGGATTCATCAATTTCAAAGAATTCATGGAGGCTCACAAGAAGGATGGTGGGATTAGGACAATGGATATACACAGTGCATTTCGGATATTTGATAGGAATGGTGATGGGAAAATAAGTGCAGAAGAAGTTAAAGAAATGCTCAGAAGGCTGGGAGAAAGGTGTAGCCTTGAGGATTGCCAGCGAATGGTGAGAGCAGTGGACACAGATGGTGATGGCATGGTTGACATAAACGACTTCATGGCCATGATGACTCAATCGCTGAGACATGATTGAATGTTTATGGCTGGCTATCTTGTTTCTTGAGGTTGAATTTAGGAGCAACTCAATGAAACTCATTGGTGTTGTATTTAGATTTATTTACTTAAATAAGGGAAAAGATCTGTTTACAATTTTTTTTTACAAATTACACTATCTTTTCTCGGAAAAACATAGTGTAACTAGTGTTCTTCCGGGAGAAGATAATGTAGTTTATAAATAAAAAAGTTTGTAAATATAACATGTCCCCTTGTACAAAGTTGGATTTTAAAATTAGTGGTAGGTACAGTACAATTTGTACTATGTAAAATGGACACTGCTAAAACCTTTTCTCGCTGCTTCTCTTGCTTGTAATAAATAATAGTAATAATATAAAAACTTTCTTGGGTTTCAATTGCTACTTTCCTTATTTCTTCTTCAAATTTTGTGGTAGGATAAGGTTGAGGAAAATCACGTCCGAGGCGTCTTTCAACCTTTATGCTTAAGCCTTAAAGTATGATGCATCTCTATCTCTTTCTCCATCTGTTAAAATAATAGCTGAATATGAATTCATAATGAAGAGAAATGCATCGTAGAACCGGCGCACAGCTGTTGTAAAAATAATATACATGCACTGTTAAGAATGTTTTATTCTCATCTTTAAAAAATTCAATTTTTCTTCCTTATTTTTTTTTTTTTAATGGATAGATATATCCCCACTCACCACAGCAAAATGAAAGTAAAAGGATTAGCCTAGCAAAACTAGGCTAACCTGAATACATGGAAACTAGGGAAACTCCCAAGTCCCAACTACATCATTTGGAACTCCCAAGTCCCAACTTTGGATAGTAACCCCAAACTGACTTGAATTAGATATGCAGATGGGTTGGCTTGATTGACAATGCCTGAAACATCCCACAGATTAACCATTAAAACGGCAGACATTTCAGGCTTCCCATAGCTGCCACGGATTAAAAACAGCTAAAACCATTTCATTCAGTTTAGATCTCTCCCAAGATTAACATAATCTCAGTCTGCTATCAGAGATTATACATACAGTCAACTCGGTTAAGGTTAGTCACACTATCACACATGTTTCGCTAAAATTAAATATCTTTAAAACCCTTCACTCATTGATCATATCATTGAGCTTCTAATAGGAACTTCGGTTAATAAATCAGCAGAAGAATCTAAAGGCCCGTTTGGAACACCTGATAAAGAAGATAGGATAAGATAACTTATCATATTCTACTTTTATCTCTTGTTTGGTAGGTCAATAGGATATGATTAGCTTATCCTATTGTCTCATTTTATCCTATCCAATACATGATTTCTTATCCTATGGGGGGAACTGGGTTAGGATTCATTATGATAGGATACCAATATTAGATACCCAAATATCCCCACGCTACCCAATATATTCCCACGCTACCCAATATATTTGTATTTATTGTATTATATTTTGTTTTTTTTTTCTTTCTCCTTCTATATAATCTTATCAGATTGCAAATTAGGTGCTTATCAAACACAAGACATAATATAGGCTTGTCAGCCTCATATCATATCCTACCCTTATCAGCTCCATATCATATCCTACCCTTATCCTATCCTATCCACCAAACGAGCCCTAAGAGCTCGTTTGGTGGACAAGATAGGATAAGAACGGATAGGATAAGAGAGTTGGATAAGGATAGGATATGATATGGACAGGATAAGGACATATCATATCCTGTGTTTGATATGCATTGGATTAGCAATCTGATAAGATTATGCTATCCTATCATGTGTCTGAGGTGCACCAAATATCATCAGGATATGATATAAATAGACTAAAATACCCTTTTGAAAAAAATATCATATAAATTAATTTTAAAATTTATTAATACAATTCTAACAATTATAATTTTAGACAATATTTTAAATTAATTCTCTTATCCTCTATATTGTATGTACATCATTCAAAAATCATGTTTCATTTAATTCAAAAAGGCGTGACGATGAATGGTTCTTTCATTCGCTAAACAAAAACTTTGATAGGCAAATAAATACAACTTATAATTTGGGACTTAAATGAAGGAAGAATAAACAAAATATAATACAACAAATAGAAACATAGATGTTTCAAATCGTTATAAGAAATACATAATACAAGTAAAATTACAAAATACAAGTAAAATTGCAAATAAAGAACACTACAATCAATTTATATGTCTATTAGTTAGCCATTCATTCCACATTTGAGTTGCTAGATTTTCCCTCCAAGGGAACCACTGATCACTAGCCTCAATTGTATTAATATAATCACCATCATTGCGTGCTACTTCTTCGTTGAGTATTTGTGTTTTCAATTCTGCATCTAATTGTGCTTCCATTGGGTCAACAGGCATTTCTCTTTTGATAAAATTGTGAAGAAGGCAACAAGCAATTATTATGCGATTTTGGATTTTGATGGGATAAAAAGATCGGCTTCTAAGTATAGCCCCACGCATTTTTAATAGTCCAAATGTTCTCTCTATCACATTTCTTGCCATGGAATGTATTGAAGAGTTCTTCCTTATATGTTGGTGTATACCCATGTCTCCATTCACTACGATGGTATCGATAGCCTCTATATGGAGCAAGAAATCCCTCACAATTTGTATATCCAGCATCCACAAGATAATAGTATCCTATAATAAAAAATAATAGTTATTTCAAATACATTATACTTTTATTATAAATATCACAATTTCTGTACCACATAACTAATGTTGGAACTATTAAACCATTCATCCTTGAAATAGCATCTCGCAATACTCTTGAATCTGATGCTGATCCTTCCCATCCAGGTAAATACATATATAAACTTCATATCCCTATAACATATGCCCAGGACATTGGTAGATATATCTCCTTTTCTATTACGATATCGGGGTTTATCAATTGCTAACACATTAACTTCAATATGGGTTCCATCTAGTGCCCCAAGACAATTCTAAAACATATTCAAAAATAAAAACAAAAAGTTAAAAAAATATAAAACACAATTAATAAAAATAGAATAGATTTAAAATCAAACATCATCTTACCTTAAACCATTTCCATCTTTCGTCTAAGCAATCTTCTAGGACAGGATCTGGTGTTCTAAGAAGTGTTTCTTGCAACCGTAAAACAGCATTCAACACTAAATTAAAGTATTTTGTGCCAGACCGTCTAAACAAAAATCTAATAACACGATTCTTGGAATGATGTGCCAATATATGTAAAAACATTGCCACCTGTTCTTCAACACTTACTAGTCCATCCTCTTTTAATCTACCATTATTTTTAAGGAGGGCACATAATAAACGAAATGACCTAATGTTCATTCGAAGTTGATCAACACAAGTTTGATCATCATGATTCATCAATCTATCCAGAAACTCTCCCCTAAGCCCTTCTCTAATAATTGGTTGCTGCCTAAGATTATAATTTCCATGCCACCATAGTGCAAAATGACTCACTTCCATTAAAATTGTAATACAAACCCAAACCATATGGAAAAACATTTGCTCCAAAATTAAATCTGATATAATGTCAAGATGCTCCTCTGAATCCATGTCAACCTGTGCATAAAAAAATAATGTTATGGAAAGCAAGATTTTTTAAAAACATTAGGTGGGGATTTAAATGAAGTCATCTTTATTTTATTTTTTCTATTTCTTTTATGCAGCAGGTGGACATTCCATAACCACCTTGTAATCAAAATGAGCACATAGTCTAATAGCTGGAATCATATCCAAGACATTAACACTGCCTTAACACCTTGGTTTACTCATAACCATCCATACAAAAAAATACAAGTTCAGCACTCATTTTAACGCCTAGCATCTAGGATGAATCTCAAAAAAAAAAAAAAAATAGTTTCGGGGACACAACCTACACATGAAGGCTGCTCTAAAACTCGGGTAAAACATATTTTCTACATACCTTTATATGACAACAAGGCTTTAAAAACAAAATTGAATTTAGTCCATTCCCGGTACAGCTTCAGCATATTCATTTCAAGAAGCATCAAAACATGATTGTCTCTAGCCAATCTTTGCATGTAAACTGTGGTTCATAATAACAACCAATCATGTATCATAGGGGCAAAAGGCAAGGTTATCCCTGCAATGTACAACACCTCTTCTTCCCTGTAACTTAGGGAATCCTTACTTGCCTAGTTGCCGCTATCAAACACCACAAAAATTCTAACAACAGAATGTACACAACACATTGACTAGGATTGAAAAGTAATGTTTAAAGAAACGTAAAGAAGGAAGGGAAAAAGTCTAGATCAATTCTTCTCTAATGAATGACTACTGAAAGCAATAACATGGCAGAGAGAGAAACAAAGATGAATATTGAGCAAAGAGAGAAACAAACAGAGAAGAAACAGTGAAAGAATTGTATTATAGTAAAATACAATTGTATCACAGACAAAAAATCCTCTGGCTTTCAAAACCATTGCAGTCAAATCCGATAAAATGAACCCCCCACAAAAAAAAAATCCAAAAATTGGTAAAATTTAGAGAAAAGAGGGGGAAAGTAAAATACCTAGCTCCGGATCGAAAGACAAGTTTTCACTTTGAATGAAAATTGAGCAAAGATGTTCTCTTTTCTCATCAACTTGTAAATTTGCGTGGTGTTCCAATTCCTCGCTTCTAATCTCGGCAAATTAGGTAGGGTTTGCATGCGGACAGATGTGCATCTGGGTTTTTTTTCGAGTGGAAAGCCAAGGGATAAAGTGGGAATCAAATTTTGGTATCCTATCCTATTCAATCCTAACCCAACTCCCCCCTTAGGATAAGTTATGATATGGTGGGCAGGATAAAACAAGGCAACAGGATAAGTTTATCCTATCCTACTGACCCACCAACAAAAGATAAGAGTAAGATATGATAAGTTATCATATCCTATCCTTCATATAAGGTGCTCCAAACAGGCCCTAAAGGTCTAAAATGCTCTTGCTCATTCTTGGGATCTCGTCATTCAAGGTATTTCATAAAAAAAGACAAGGTTATAGTTAAGGGCCGACCCAGTTCAAATACCCACTTCGTGAGTGTCTGGGGAAGGGAATACTCTAGGCAGTCTTTCCCCTGCTTTTTGCAGAGAGGCTAATTCGAACCCGTGACCTGACACACCACGGCAAGCAAGCTTACCGCTGAAAATTTGGACTTCATATTGAATTCATTCATTTTCTGTGAACATCATGCTCTACTCTCTACAAAGTTAACTTCTACTTAGTAGCTATTTTAACAGTATACCAGGGGCTAATAGATTACAGTTCGAAATTAGTACTTACTCTACCAAAACGATGTCTTTTTTGCTTAAAACTCAAATTCCCATGCCTAACTACCTAGAAATACTGTTTTTTCCCCAATACACCGCATATAAATATGAAGATTAAAGAGATGCCTCTAAACACTTTTCAAAACTAAACGCCAAACTTTTTCTACACATTTGCATGGATCAGCTAATAAAGCTGAATTTTAAGTTGCTGGAACCAAATAAATAAATAAAACCATATAAGAGCAAATAGTAACGTGATCAAGTAATAGCAGTATAGCACTGAGTAGAAGTGGAGAGACAATGATTAAGTGAATATCTGAACAAGAAGCAAATACATTCTAAATCAGTGCATACTGCATAATTCATCTCCTATCCCTAGCACTATTGAAACTTCCACGCATATTTGTTTTCCTAGTACACAATAAGGGGCCACCAGGTAGAAAATGATATATTCATGCTAATGTAGTAGGTAGTCAAGTTATGATTCCTTCACCAGTAATCCCCACAAGAGCATTCTCCATCCTTGAAATGATGAAACCTTTTGTTATCTCTGACAACTAAGTTTCTACCTACAATCCTGGACATGATCTTGATGGCATTGTGACAGTCACCACAGACACGAAGGTTCTTGATGATTCGAAGAGGTGTTCTTGGTGGAGTACTAATAAGACCAAAGGCAATTGCTAGACGTTCACTGTGGTAGAGCAAGGATTGCTCCTTTGCTTCCTGATCAATGTCATGAAGAACATATCTTGTATCAGGTACATATCCTGCATCTTTCATTGCACTCAAAGCCTTTAACTTTTCATCATCCTTGTAAAGAGCAAGATTCTTATATTCAATAATTCTGTTCTTGCCATCAAGCATGCTAATTGCAGTATACTTCTTCGGAGGCGGCGTAGGGATCTTATTGGTAACAACTTTTGATGGGTCAAGACTAACCATTAACTCTTCAGCATGGTCTTCAAGATCAATATCCCCATGAGTGCGAGCATAATTCTTCAGAGTCTCCCATACAGTCACTGTAGGCTCAAATGGCAACTTCTCAATAAACTCCTCAGCTTCCTTGAGATACCCAGACTGTCCAAGAACATCCAAAAGCCCCATATAGTGCTCCACCCCTGGTTCAATTCCATATTTACTTTTCATAGACTCAAAATGTAAGTATGCGTCTTCCACAGCTTCTGCACTGGCACAAGCTGATAACACAGCAAGCAAAGTCTCTGAAGTGATTTCCAAACCCAGCTCATTCATCTGCTCAAACAGTTGCAAGGCTTCATCTCCCATAGTATTATTTGCGTAGCCACAAAGCATCAAGTGCCAAGAGTCCATATTCCTATTAGGCATATGATCAAACACTCTGCGTGCATCAGTCATGCTTTTACAATTCCCATACATCTCAATCACCTTGTTGTTTAACTTGAGATCACTCCTATAAGTAGACTGCAGAAAGTAATCATGGGCCTTCTTGGCAACCTCAAGGGATTTCAATTGGCCACACGAGTCAAAAAGAAGATCAAAGCAACTGGCATCAGCTTTGTCCCCTTTGTCCATCAATTCAATCGCTTCTTTAACCTTCCCCTCTTGGCACAAACGTGTCAAATCAATGATTGAAGGCGGAGATGTAGGAGGAGAACCTTGACCGTTCAACTGGTTAGGGTTTTGAAACTGGTTGACATGTGGGAACCCGTGAGTCCTAGGGTTCCACTGGGGGTTTTGATTGTTCCATCGATTAGGGTTAGTGGGTGGCTGAAAGTTGGGATTTTGAGAAGTGGGTGGTGCTTGATGTTGAGGATTCCAATGATTAAGGTTTCGCCCCTGCTCAGGAAATCGACTAGGAATATTGTGTTTGTGGGGTTCATGGTTTTGGTAAGCAAATTGATTTGAAGGGGCAGGGTTTCCACTCTGGTTTTGAATATGTGGGTTTAAATGTTGAGGAGAATGGCCCTGACGTTGTTGCCATTGACCCTGAAAGGGTGTGTGATCAGAGGGTGGTTGCTGTGGAGGGAATCTCCCATAATCGTTTAGAACCGCAGAGGTACTCAAAGATTTTATAATCAGGGTTTGGCTGCAGTGGTTGGGATGGATAAACAGTGTCCGTAGCTTGAAGGAGGAAGAGAACATTGTAGATCGTGCACGCTCAATCAATTGGAACATCACCATGACTGAGTGAAACTGCGGAAGGAGCAATTAGGGTGCTATGACAACTGTTTGGGCTGCTTATTTTTGTTGTACTTTGTATTGGGTCATGGGTGTTAGTTAATTTCATTCAGTAATACATTTATTCATGTTCAACAGTAATCATTCAAGAACATGACAGATGATCTTCAGAATTTATGAGTTTCACATAAACATACCATTGTCCATAATTGCGGAAGAACTTTGATGGTGAGATCATTTCTCTGAGTCTTTACCATTCAATGTTCTTGTATCTTCTTTGATAGGGATAGGATACAACTATCATAGGCAGACCCAGATGGAGCGTTCTTTTCTGTCAGAGACACTTACACAGAAAACTGACCATATAACACTTATGTAACTGCATCTATCAGCAGTTACTCTTTTAATAACTTCCCTTTATTGTCAATTACCATTATGCCCTTTTATTAATTAAATCAACTGACACTTAATATTATACATGAGACACAATAAGTTTTACATTCTCCCACTTGGCTCATGTCATGAGGTGTCCCTTCATGATTTAATCAACATTCATTATAATGCGCATTTACTAGGCTAAATGTTCTATACATTGACTTCATCATAATTCATTATTAGAAATTAAAATCAACAAGAGTCATGGCGGTTGTATGCTATCAAGTCGGCATAGTCCATTCCATGTATTACTATATTGACTCTTCTTCCTAACATGATACTTTAATAGGAAGTACACATTATGTCCAACAATAATGTCTTCATAACGGACCACAAATATTTTCAATATCATCACATATACTTGCATGCATACATAAATTGAAAACAAGACAATATCAGAAATATATATTCATCAATGAGCTCAGAGTGTCAACACTCAATACATAACAATAATTATCATCATTCATTAGCTGACATAATGCCCATTCTACATACATGACCAGTAAATGTCTTGGGCGGTAATCCCTTCGTCAAGGGATCAGCTATCATAAGATCGGTGCTAATATGCTCTATAGACACTCTTTGTTTCTGAACCTCTTCTTTAACGGCAAAGTACTTTAATTCCATATGTTTAGCACCTTTGGAATATTTGTCGTTTTTAGAAAAGAAGACACCTGCGGAATTATCACAATAAATTTTCAGCGGCTTTTCAATATTGTCGACCAATCCAAGCCCTGAAATAAAGTTCTGTAGCCATTTAGCCTGAATCGTGGCTTCAAAGCATGCCACAAATTCAGCTTCCATAGTGGACACAACTATTACAGTCTGCTTCGCACTTTTCCATGATATAGCTCCTTCAGCTAAAAGATACAGGTAACCACATGTAGACTTTCTTGTGTCTACGCATCTTGCAAAATCTGAATCTGTGTATCCAATCACTTCAAGGTTGCTAGACCTTCTATAAGTAAGCATGTGACATTTAGTTCCTTGCAAATATCTCAGAACTTTCTTTGCTGCTTTCCAGTGATCTATACTAGGATTACTTTGGTATCTATCCAACATCCCAACTGCAAAGCTAATATTTGGTCTCGTACAAGTCTGAGCATACATTAAACTCCCAACTAATGATGCATACGGAATTGCCTCCATTTCTTTTCGTTCCAATTCACTTTTAGGACATTGCATGAGACTAAACTTATCTCCTTTCTGAATTGGAACTGGAGATGATGAGCAGTTTTTCATTCTGAATCTCTCTAGAACTTTATTAATATATGTTTTCTGAGACAAACCTAACAGTCCTTGTGATCTATCACGGAATATTTCTATTCCTATCACATAAGCTGCCTCACCCATATCTTTCATTTCGAAGTTACTAGAGAGAAACTTCTTAGTCTCATTCAAAAGACCAAGATCGTTAGTTGCAAGCAAAATATCATCAACATACAGAATCAATAAGATAAACTTGCTCCCACTGATCTTCAGATATATACATCGATCAACAATTTTTTCTTTAAATCCAAAGGAAACAACGGTATCATTGAACTTAAGGTACCATTGTCGTGAAGCTTGTTTAAGTCCGTATATTGACTTCTTAAGTTTGCACACCATGTGCTCTTTACCCTTTTCTATGAACCCCATTGGTTGGTCCATGTACACATCTTCATCTAAATTTCCATTTAGAAAGGCGGTTTTCACATCTATTTGGTGTAACTCTAGATCATAATGAGCCATCAATGCCATAATAATTCTTAAAGAATCCTTCTTTGAAACTGGTGAAAAAGTTTCTTTATAGTCAATGCCATCTTTCTGAGTGAATCCTTTTGCAACTAGTCTGGCCTTGTAACGTTCCAAGTTACCATGAGAGTCACGTTTGGTCTTAAAGACCCATTTACAACCAACTCTCTTGCACCCTTCTGGTAACTCAACAAGATCCCAGACCTTATTCTGTTCCATAGATTTCAACTCATCTTTCATAGCATCTAACCATTTATCACCATTTTCTCCATTCATGGCTTGTGAAAACGTTACTGGATCATCCTGAATACCCATGTCAAATTCAGACTCTTGTAGATATACCACATAATCATTAGAAATAGCAGGTCTCCTTTCTCTTTGAGATCTTCTTAATGCTATTTGTTGTGGTTCTTCTACTATGGGTTCATTCGGTTCATCAACAATGATCTCTTCATGAGTAGTGGGATCATTAACTTGTCCTTCATTATTATTGATTGGTTCAATAGCATAAGGAACAATAACTTTACTAGAGCTACAAGGTAATGGAACTTGTACTCTCACTTCATGAATATCCACTTTACGTGGTGTTTCACTCCCACTATCTTCACCGTTCTCAATGAACCTTGCATTTCCAGATTCAATAATCCTTGTAGTATGATAAGGACAGTAAAATCTATACCCTTTTGACTTTTCTGGATAACCAATGAAATAACCACTGATTGTTCTTGCATCCAGTTTCTTTTCTTGCGGATTGTAGTATCTAATCTCTGCCTGACAACTCCAAACATGCAGGTGTCTTATACTAGGTTTCCTTCCAGTCCAAAGTTCAAAAGGAGTCTTTGGAACTGACTTACTAGGAACCCTATTCAATACGTACATGGCAGTTTTTAGAGCATAAGTCCACAATGAAACAGGTAAAGAAGAATTACTTAACATACTCCTAACCATATCCAGTAAGGTCCTATTACACCTTTCTGATACACCATTCTGTTGCGGTGTACCGGGCATTGTGTATTGAGCACAAATACCACGCTTTTCCAGAAATTTAGTAAATGGGCCCGGATGTTGTCCACTTTCATCATACCTTCCATAATATTCACCACCCCTATCAGACCTGACAATCTTCACCTTTCTGTCTAATTGCCTTTCAACTTCATTAATATAAATCTCCAAAGCATTTGCAGCTTGAGACTTATCATGCAGCAAATAGACATAACCATAACGTGAATAATCATCAATGAAAGTGATAAAATATTTTTCTTTATTGAAAGCATTAACATCAAACGGACCACATACATCAGTGTGTATAATTTCAAGAAGCTGAGTGCTCCTTGTGGCTCCTTTCTTTGTGTGTTTTGTTTGTTTTCCTTTAATACAATCCACGCAAATATTTAAATCAGTAAAG